GCCAGGATTTGGGCGAATTTCTCCAGGGGATAGCTGGGCAGATAACGGGGCAACTAGCACACTTATCATCAACGCTGGGAACGCAGAGTATTGCCCAAATAGTTAAACCGTTTGAGGGGGACCCCAAGAAATACAAGGAATGGATGAAGAATTTAGAAAAAATATGCTGTCTTAACCAACGCTGATCAGGATAGAGTGAGTGAGTGAGTTAAGATTTAAAGTCACATCGGCAATATTTCAGCCATATCGTGACTAAAACTAGTTCTAAATTTATAATTTATAATACATACATATAATATATAAAACCCTGTCAACGAAGGACAGTAAAATAACCAAAGTATCACAGATGGAGTCTAAAACTAGCATGAACATGTAAAACTATTTTAATTACGAAAACAATTTAATATAAAAACGGGCTATAGATCGCCAACAACTGAAGGTAGATCACCATACTAAGGTCCATGGGGACTTACATTACTTTTGCTACCTGCATGGACCCTAGCTGATTTACACCATCCCTTCAGCCATTGGCGTTGATACTGAGATTTAGCCATACATTAAAAACACAAAAATACTACGATTAAAACCCTGGTACACTTAAACTGACTTGAAATGTTTTGGGACTTACGTACCCTCGCAGGAGGACAATAATTTTACGCTACTTCAACCCCATTTGAGAGTACAGCCACTAACAATCTCAGTTACTAATCTAAACGACCAATAATAAAATATATATCTATTTACAAATCAGTTAGCAAGTCTAATTGTTTTGAAAAAGGCAATAATTAAATGAGAACTTATATTACTAAAAAGATCCTTCATAGTTTCTACTTTGAAATAAATATCCCTTGTGATGGAATATTCAACACAGTCAAGCAGGATATGCTTGACCGTGATTCTTTCATCACAAAGGATACAAAACGGAGGATCCTCACCTTTTAACAGGTATTCATGAGTATATCTGGTGTGACCAATACGACATCGTCGTATGATGACCTCTTCAAATCTGGACTGACAACCCAAGTAGGTGTAACCGATAGTGGGTTTTATTGCATGTAATTTATTGATACCTACTTGGGCATCCCACTTCTTTTGCATCAGATCACGGATGTAAGTTCTAATGCTTGCTTTGTAATCAGAGTATGGGATCAGAAGTGATGTCACAGATTTGTTGAGTGCTGCCTTGGCAACAAAATCGGCCATTGTATTACCAGAAATGCCAACGTGGCTGGGTAACCAACAGAGGACGATGTCGTATTGGCCAGTTGCAAGATCATTATATAATTCTATAATTTCTATTAAAAGCGGATATTTTGTTTACAAGAAATATTTTTAATCGCCTGAAGGCAAAAAAAGAGAGTCTGAAAATATTATATATTGTTTATATTTAGGGTGCCTCAAAGGGGGTTGAAGTAGTGTAAAATTATTGTCCTCCTGAGAGGGTACGTAAGTCCCAAAACCTTCAAAATTCACTTTTTGCTTACCCGATTTTTAATCGTAGTATATTTGTTCATTTAAATTTTGGCTAAACTTGTCCTACAATCGCCAACTGCTGAGGGGATGGTGTAAATCCAACTAGGATCCATGCAGGTAGCGAAAGTAATGTAAGTCCCCATGGTTTCTAGTATGGTGATCTACCTTCAGTTGTTGGCGATCTATAGCCCAATTTTATATTGTGTTGTCTAAATATTTTAGACTCTATTACTAGTTTTATCTGTATATGTGATATTCTAGTTGTTTTACTGTCCTTCGTTGACAGGTTTTTTATAGTTTGCTATTGCTTATTATGCATAAAATTAGTTGTTCTCGTCACGATATGGCTGAAATATTGCCGATGTGACGTTAAATATTAACTCACTCACTCACTATATTTAGGGTGTCTATTTATATATTTAAGAGCTGTTAGTATTGCGTTTGCTTCTGCTGTGAAAATTGAACAGTCATTGGGTAATCTGGAAGATATTGTTTTGGACCCAGTGACAGTGGCACAAGCAACCGCGCCACCATCCTTGGACCCATCTGTAAATAAGGATTTATATGTATTATATTTACTTTTTAATTGATTATATTCTTGTTTATATTGCAATTCATTAGTTTCTGCTTTCTTAAACTTAGTCAGTGTGAGGTCGACTTGTGGCCTAACCAATTGCCAAGGAGGAGAAGAAAGAAGACGGGAAGGAGATATATTTTCCAGCTCAATGCCGGCAGCAGTAATGAATGGCTTAATCCTGAGCCCAAGAGGCGGAACAAGAGAAGATTTCTTGTTGTACAAGTCCTCATAAAGAGGATTAAAGATGCAGTGAAACGCAGGATTAGACTCGTTAGAATATAGCTTGGTAATATACTGTAATGATAATTTTATACGGCGTTGGGTAAGAGAAGGCTCATCTGCCTCGACGTAGAGACTGTCAACAGGAGATGTTCTGAAGGACCTACGACAAAGTCTCAGACCTTGATGGTGGACTGAATCGAAGAGTTTTAAGTTGCTTTTACAGGCTCCACCATATACGATGGAGCCATAATCAAGCTTCGAGCGGACAAGTGATCTGTAAAGGTGTAGTAGCGTAGCTTGATCCCCTCCCCACCTTGAATTAGACACGACTTTCAATAAATCGAGTGCCTTCAGGCATTTAGTTTTTAGGGATTTAATATGCGGAAGAAAGGTTAAATGGGAGTCGAAAATCAGACCCAAGAATTTGGCCTCTTTGACAACCTTGTTGGGAGTGCCATTTAAAAACAGTTCTGGGTCTTTATGAGGCTTATATTTTCTACAGAAGTGTAGACAATTAGTTTTTGATTTAGAAAATGTAAAGCCGTTTTCAAGACACCATTTATTTATTTTATTTAAACACAACTGCAGTTGCCGTTCAATAGTATGCATATTCTTACCGCGACAAGAAATATTAAAATCATCCACAAAAAGTGATCTATCAATGGAATCGTTTAAAACCTTGGATAAACTGTTGATCTTAATGCTAAATAAAGTGACAGACAAAACACTGCCTTGTGGGACACCCTGATCCTGATTGTAATGGTCAGACAGGGTTGAACCCACGCGGACTTGAAATTGCCTGTCTTCTAAAAACTGTGATATAAAAAAAGTAAACGACCCCTTAAACCCAAATCATGTAAATCCTTTAAAATGCCATGCTTCCAGGTGGTATCGTACGCTTTCTCGAGATCAAAGAATAGCGATACTGCATGTTGTTTATTGACTATTGCATTTTTGACAAAGGATTCTAATCGTACCAAATGATCAATGGTACTACGATTTTTCCTGAAACCACATTGAATATTTGTTATGAGATTATTGGTTTCAAGATACCATGTTAATCGATTATTTACTATTCGTGCCATGGTTTTACAGACACAACTCGTTAAAGAGATTGGTCTGTAATTAGACGGATCAGTATGATCCCGGCCAGGCTTTGGTATTGGGACTACAATGGCATTACGCCACGAAGGTGGGAAATTCCCTGAAGTCCATATTGTGTCAAAAATATTTAGAACAGTTTCCAAACATGATTCTGGTAAATGCTTCAAGAGCTGATAGTGTATATTATCAGCTCCTGTTGCTGTGTCATGAGCTTGCTCAAGGGCAGTGTGGAGCTCATGTAATGAAAATAATTCATTATAGTCTTCGCCATTGTCCGAGTTAAAATTTATTCTCTTCTTCTCCTGTTGTTTCTGATATTGTTGAAATTCAGGGACGTAATTTGACGAAGAAGAGTGTTTGGCGAGTGTTTCACCAAGCTTATTGGCAATGTCAGACTTACCAGTTAATATATTGTCACCATCCTTCAGATGATGAACAGTAGATTTGGAACCTTTGCCCTTAATTCTTTGGATCATGTTCCACACCTTTGAAATCGGTGTGCGTGAATTTATTTTAGAAACATATTTCCTCCAAGACTGACGCTTATTCTGTTTAAATGTGCGTCGAGCCTTGGCATTTAATTTTTTTTTACTTTATTCAAATTATGGACAGTAGGATGTCGCCGAAAATATTTTTCAGCTTTCTTCCTGCTCTTTCTGGCCTGTTTACATTCATTATCAAACCATGGCTTGCGAATATGTGGAACTGCAGAGGACTTAGGTATAGTTTGGTCAGCAATGTCATTGAGTAAATCGGAAAACAACTGTATCGGATCTTCACTGTTCGCAAAAACATCATGTTTTAAGTGATCAGCACATAATGTCTCATATAATGGCCAATCAGCCCTGGCGAAGTTTCTTCTCGATAAAGGTGGATCATCACCAGGGCTGATTGTCTTGAGAATGGCAGGGAAGTGATCACTCCCACATAGATCATCATGTACCATCCATTCAAATTCATCAAACAAGATGGAGTCAGCAAGTGATAGATCCAGGGAAGAATATGTTCCCGTAGCTGGATGTAAATAAGTGGATGAGTCATCATTAAAAATACATAAATTATTATCGGAAATGAATTCCTCAAGGATTTTACCTTTAGTGTTGGTATGGACACCTCCCCAAAGTGGGTTGTGTCCGTTAAGATCGCCCAAGATAACACATGGCTTAGGGAGTTGATCGTACAGATTTTGAAGATCTGTCTGACGGATATTAGAAGAGGGAGGGATATATAAGATGCACAATGTCAGGGCAACGTGTAGAGTTAGGCGAACAGCAACTGTTTGAAGATCCGTATTTAGAGTGACAGGGCTATGAATAACGCTGTGATGTATCAAAATAGAAGCGCCTCCAGTTGCACGATCCCCCGGAGGAGAAAAAGAATGATAAGCACTATACTGTCTCAGATTAAAATTATCTGTGTTTTTTAAGATATGTCTCTTGGAGACAGAATGCTGACGGGTGATGATCTTGCATGAGTAATTGTATCTCATTGAAGTTATTTTTTAAGCCCTCTGCAGTTCCATTGAATTATATTGGCCAGAATTGAGTCATGGTGGCTCAATTGGCGATCTTCACGAGAATGTGAGGGGTAATCCCCTCTGCTTATCCTGTGAGTACAGGGTCACCTCCATGTCTAGAGGCCCAAAAGTGTTCTGTAAAGGAACCTCTAAAGGCAAAGGTACGACAGGTATTTCTTTCCTATTCAATTTTTTTTCCTTCTTCTTTTTCACTAAATCCGTGGCAGGCTGTGATGTGGCTAATTGCGGAGCAGTCATCTGTGAGGACTCAGACTGAATTTCTGTCTGAGACTCAGACGTGGACATAGTGGGTGAGGCAGTAGGTTTTTTAGGTGGGGAAGCAGGTGTGTTGGATGAAAACACAGGTTTGTCTGACTTGACCCAGGTCAAGTCAGTCTGACATACAGCTGAGGACATTGCTACGGAGCGTTTAACTGCAGCGGAATATGTCATGTTTGATGGAGTTGAAGATTGACTGGTGAAATGTTTTTTGGCTTCAAAATAGGAAAGGTTTTGTTCACATTTTATTTTCATTATCTTCGATTCCCTTTGATATATAGGGCATGACCTAAAAGAAGCAGGATGCGTCTCCTTGCAGTTGACACACTTGGGATCATTCACGCAGCCCGTGCCGTCATGGTGATCTCCACGGCGATAACACACTGCAGGATTACGGCATGAGTAAGTCCCATGACCAAACTGTTGACATTTAAAGCACCGGAGGGGATTGGGGACATACACATCCACCCCGATGTTGAGATAGCCTGCCTTTATTGACTGTGGTAAAGATGATCTGGCAAATGTTAGGAGATAAGTATTGGTTTTGGTTACGATGTCATCCTTTTTAATGGTGAAACGTTTAACCGCTGTAACCACCTGATCTGCAAGCTCGGTAGCAATGTCCTCTTCAGTCATATCATACAGACAGCGAGCCCTGTCACGTATGATACCACGGCAAGAATTGAGAGTTTTGTGCACGCACACAGTAACCTCTACGTTGGCAAATGTTTTGACAGTCATAAGATTTACAGATTGCTGTTTCCGTGCGCACTCCACCAGAAGTGAGCCACTACGGAGACGGATGACATTTTTCACCTCCCCACAAATCCCATAGATAGCTTTTGACACGGCAAATGGGTTCAGTTTGATGGGCAAAAAATCAGTAGCCTCAATCACTAGAAATCTAGCCAAGGAATCAACGTTGGAGTGAGTGTCAGACGGACGATCTAGTTCGTCCAAACGTCGCTTTTTTTCATATCGAGTTGAACCAGCTTGTTGGAGAGCCATGATGAAAGGAAAATTATTCGCCATCCCTGCTCCCCACCCACCATGGAGTGTCAACAAGGACGGTGTCAAATAGCACCGGATATCCAAAATGCTGACACCAGGGATACAGGGATGGTATACTCCAGAGAATATGACACGAAAAGCTGTATTTATCTACCAATTCAATGCCAGGCTGGTTCGGCCCATGACAAGGAATATGAGACATACATCACTCGGAGGTCAACATCACTAGATTGGCCCATGAGCCACCGCCTTCTGGCATAGGACTCTAAGCAAACATACACAGTATAATAATTTCAAAGAATAACATTCATTGCCAAAAATGTACAATAATTGCTGAGGAATGTTGTCCACGCACAGGGCATGGCGTGACCAGCCGATTGATAGAACCGGGCCAGTTCTACCACCCGTCTAGGTGAAGTAAGGGTCGAAGTGGTGTGTTGGGCAAAAGGAACACGGTTCTAGGCTCCCAGTACCCTCAACCACCAGACTACCTTCCTCCACCGACACAGGGGTGCAACCCACGGCCAACAGGTTGGTGGACCAAATATACCCCCGGGTCCACAACGGGGGGTTGAAGGGCGCTTAGCGTGACCCAACACCCACCACGAGGAGTGGCCCTTCATGGGTGCCTCAGGATAGAGTGAAACTAGTAGCGTACCAATCTAGTACAGGGGCGGTTAGCGATTTTATCCATCGGTATATGAACGATCATGCTCAGGCAACCTGAGTTGGAACTCGCTCGTAGGTTCGCGGAGATCACTGACCCTCAGCATGCCTTTATGCTTCTGCGAACGACCCAACAAAAACTAGGGGAGAGTGTTCAGCTATATGCTGAGAGATGACATAATTTGGCAGAGGAGGCGTACGCAGGGATTGAAGGTCAACAGAATGGGTTAGCGGTAGAACGGCAACTGGTAGGGTTTTTCATTGATGGATTGGCTCATGACTATCTTAAAATGAAGGTTATGCGGGAGAACCATCCAAATCTAGCCACAGCAGTTACCAGCGCTACCCATGAACAAAATCTAAGGGCAAGATTTAATCTACATGTAGGAAGGACAAGGACGAGCCAATGGAGGTAGATCACCTCCGGAATAGAAAATGCTTTAGATGTGGGAGACAGGGGCATAGAGCAAAGGATTGTAGGGTGCAAAACATTAATGCAGTAAACAATCAGGACACTGACTTTCACGTCAAAACAAAGCTGTGCTGGGTGTGCAATCAGGCCGGACATTTCAAACAGGATTTTCACAATAGGGTCAACCAGAGACAAAGTGATAATTCACGTATGCATAGAAATAGGAATCAGCATTATCGTTCAGAAACAAAGCAACATTTAAACTAGAATCTCTTCCTCATTAAGAAGCCGATGCGTAAGAGGGAAAGCCAACAACCACAATTAATCTGGCAGGTAACCCCAGTTCATGTCACATAAAAATAGGAAAACAACAGTATAGGTGTTTAATCGATTCTGGCGGAGAAGTATCAATCATAAACATGCATGTATTTCAAAGTCTAAAAGGATTGTATGAACTTAGTAGGAAGAAGGTTTCACTGCAATCAGTAAATGGAAATGGTTTGGTAGTACATGGATGTGTAAACATCCTATTTAACATGAGAGGAATGGTCATGACCCATCTGTTCTGTGTAGTAGGGAATATGAATAGGAATGTTATTCTAGGAAGGGATTGGTTGCAACAAAATGATGTTTGACTGTATTACGATTTAGGTAGCCTACGAGTAGGAAAAACGTATGTACCCTTGGAAGAAGACATCCACCATTAAGCCCCAAAGTAAGAACTTGTGTCAACCTAAGGTCAAAGGTAGGCCATACTATCCAGAGGCAAGGTTATATGAAATATCGGCAATAACAACAGGATATTCAGCATCTGAACCTGGATTGATGGTTGGGAATTCGTTGGCTAGATTAAACAAAGACAGGGCTGTCCCAGTGATGGTTGTTAATATCACCAACAAAACCTTCAAACTGAAAAGGGGTTGTGCAGTAGGGAAACTAGAGTCTGTTTTAGAGGAAAATCATATAACGTTAAGAGATCAATTGGACAAGGCTGACTCAATCTATGTTGACGGTGAGACAGATGTTGACACACACACACACACACACACACACACACACACACACACACACACACACACACACACACACACACACACCAGAGCACAAGGAAAACATTCAACAACTAGTGGATGAGAATGCGGACTTGTTTGCCCAAAGTGATCTAGAACTAGGCCATACAGATACGATAACAATGAAAATTGACACTGGTGACCACCCCCCTATAAAATTCAAGTCGTACCGTACACCACTTAACAAACGGAAAGAAGTAGATAAGGCCATAAACGATATGTTAGATGCAAAAGTTATCCAGAGATCTAGGTCACCTTGGAGCTTCCCCATTGTTATAGTGGATAAGAAACAAGGCGGTAAAAGATTCTGCGTGGACTTCCGGTCTCTGAATATGATCTCAAGACCAATTTCAACCCCTCTGCCACTCATTGATGACATTCTTACGCAGTTGGGGGACTCTAAGTACTTTACAACCCTGGATCTTAAGTCGGGCTACTGGCAAGTATTGATGGAAAAAAAGGATAGGGAGAAGACAGCGTTTGCATGTCACAAAGGATTGTTTGAATTTTCCGTGATGCCCTTTGGTCTTCGCAATGCCCCGTCAATTTTTATGGAACTAATGAATATCGTTCTGGAAGACCTAGAGGCATTCGCAACAGCCTATTTGGATGACATTCTTATATTCTCACGAAACTTGGAAGACCACATGAAGCATATTCCGATGGTGTTTGACCGCATCAGACAACACAACCTAAAGCTCAAACTCTCAAAATGTAGTTTTGCAAAAACAGAAACCAATTACTTGGGGGTTTTGTTATCGGCCAAGAGGGTATCAAGACTAATGGGGATAAAGTGGAAGCAATTCGATCCATGAGAGCCCCATCATCTGTGAAAGAAGTACGCAGTTTCGTAGGAATGTGTAGTTATTATCGCAGATTTGTACCTAACTTCTCAAAGATTGCTGAACCCATTGTCCGGGTGCCAAAAAAGTATGCTAGATTTACATGGACAGAGGAATGCCAACGGGCGTTTGATTTCCTGAAAGAGAGTCAGTAATTCCATTTTTGACCTATCCAGACCAAAACAAGCCGTATACCCTCTACACAGATGCAAGTGACAGCTGTATAGGTGCCTGTTTAGTTCGAGAGAGTGAGGATGGTGCTGAAAAACCCATACACTTTCTGTCACACAAGTTGAGCGACACTCAGATTCGATGGTCAACAATCGAAAAGGAAGCTTATGCAATTCATTTTGCTTTGCAAAAATTGGACCATCATTTACATAATGCTGAATTTGTGGTGAAAACTGACCATAAGCCACTACAGTATTTACTTGAATCACCAATGCAGAACAAGAAAGTACAGCTTTGGGCATTGGGAATAGCGGGTTACAACTGTCAAATTCAGTATATTGCTGGCACTGAGAACACTTGTGCTGACTTGTTGTCCCGTGTCCCTCCAGACGGCAACCCACCCCCAAAGGAAGAAGACGAGGGCGATGTACCAGAGAGAAGTGATAATGCCCTCGAGATCAATGTATTTGATTCATCACAGTTCGAGCCCAAACAGTATGCAAGCTGTACATGGCAGGATGATGCTGAACACTTCAAACCTAAACCAGACGGTTTTAAAATGATGAATGAACCGACCAAGGATGAGGAGATATTGAGAATCAAGGAACAACTAAACAAAGGAGTCGGGGATCATTCCGGTCTAAGGAGGTATATAATTATGGATCACCTCCTCTACTACATAACTGATGTAGATAATGAACCCGTCACCAGACTATATGTACCCTCTCACCTGAAGGGCCTGGTCATACAACAGTATTATGATAAAAACGGACACATGGGCATAGAAAAAACATTCGACACCATGAAGTCAAAGTATTATTGGCCAAATATGTACAAGAATCTCTATGAGTACAT